GGCCCCCTACTTGGTAGCTCTATGGATCCTGGTGGCCAGCCTGGCCAAAATCGGTGAGTGCATGTGTGAGAGCCTCAAGCTGGTGGCGGGCAGCAGACCCACCCCCAGCCCCGAGTCCCCAGATCCGGGCCGGCTTCTTGCACAGTGCCTGGACTTAGGTTGTGATTCCACAATTCGCACTGTGAGCTCCTCATACAGTTCTTGCGCCGCCTCTTGTGGATCTCCCTCCTCTCCTTGCATGGGAGCTCTGGGGATTTGCCTTCTCGAAGTGCTGCCCCAGCTCTCTCCGGCCTCATCCCTAGACTCCTTTGCCTTCTCTGCTCCCCTCTTCCCCTTGCAGTAAGCCCTTCGGGCTGCCCTCTTCTCCACCAATCCCCAGCTGCCAAGAAACCGCTGTCAGCGGCGAGGACGTGTGGGGACATTGAGGGGATGGTGTTATCTGGCAAACCCGGGCATCCTGGTCCTGAGGAACAGTTTTCCCTGGATACTAGGTCCAAATGTCCACTCCCTTGGGATACTAAACTGCCACTTTTCCCTTACTCCTCCTCTTTTCCCCTAAAGATACCCCCTTCTTGTAACTAGCTCTGGGACCAGCCCCTCCAACCCTCCAGTTCAGGTCTATAGTCTTCCCACTTCAGGGTAGAAGAAACTTCCGTTTATTGGGGCCTTACTATGTGCTGCCTGCACTAGATGCTTTCATACATCCGACCTCCTTCAGTCTGCACTTTGAAGGTGTGCTTCAGATTCCTTTCCTTGAATAGAACTGCTTTTCCTTGCCTCTGCTTCCTCCTCCCTTCTTCTGAGCAGCCAGTGGTCCCTCCTCCCACCAGAGACCCTCCTCCTTCTCCCTGTTGTGCAGGCTCTGCTATGGGGGTGACTAATTATAGCTGAACGTTGCTATTCACTCCCCATCTATGCTGGCACAGCCTGTACTCCAGTTTCACTAATACAGTCTTCATGTAGGAATTACACAGCCTAGAATTTGCCCCCCTTTTTTCCCCACAGACACTGCTGGGGGGAAAGGGGCTGGGCAGGAACTGGAGAGCTCTCCATTCTGCTGTGGCAGCCCATTAATAATGGAAAATGGGGCTTGAAATGCCTTCAGGGAGCCTAGTTCTGTCAGAGAACAGGCTTTGGTGATGGGTTTTAGATTGCTGGGGTTGATGCATGCTCTGGAGATGAGGCTGGAATAGGGTCTCTGAAGGAGAGGAGAGGGGGACCAAAAAAAGTAGGGCTGTGTGTGGGGAGATCTATGACTGAACTTAGGCCTGGCAGCCACGAGAGCAAGGTGGGAGGAGCCTTAGTTTTGGGAGCCCAAAATTGGGTTTGCTGAGAAGTCTGTGAGCTGCAATAGGGTTCTTGTCTTATTTAGGGTTTATAGCAACCACTGTAGTTTCCCCCTTAAATCATAGTGCTTTTCCTAGCTTGGATGATACCTCCTCTAGAGGTAAGACAAGAGAACCTCCTCATCAGTCAGAAAAAAAAAAAATTTCTTAGAGAGGAGGAGAAAGATAGGTAGAATGTTTGGGATACCTTCCCCTAGCTTCATTGCTGGGAGATTCCCCCCCCCCACTTTTATTCAACAAATCTTTGTATAGATCCCACGATGTGCCAGGCACTGTCCTAAGCCCTTTGGCTACAGCTTCCAAAGGGCACTGTCTTGGCATTGGGTTTCACACAGGTTAACACAGAAGTCTCTACTACCCACCACTCCAGGGATTGTATGTGAGAAGTGTTCACCCCAAGGCAATTGGGAACCAAGGGAAAATCGAAAGAATTTATTTTAGGGGACAAAGGAAGAAGTGGCAATAGTGCTAGAAACCTGTTTCATACCTCCTCCTCTTTTCCTAGGTAAAGAGCTATTATTTTCCCCCAGAGTCATATTTAATTAATATTTATTGAGAATCTGCTATGTGTCTGACATCCTACTAGCACATTTACACTATATCATTTTATCCTCACCCTGTATGATGAGTATTTTTCTATATTACAGGAGCAGAAATTGAAATTCAGGAAAATTAAATAATTTCCTGAGATCACACAATTAGAAAGTGATGGAGACAGAAGAATTGGAGATTTTTTAACTGCTAAACCTAATGCTTTTTATATTACTGAGTCCTTGGTGAGCCTATATTATAAAAAGCACATTAGGCTAGCATAGTGCTTCCAGGAGGTATAATATGCATTATCATCTAGTTAGGGAGATAGGACACAATAATTTGACATTTATTGAGTGCTTACTATAAAGCACTGGGCTGAGTGCTTTTGAGTAGTTTGTCTTATTTAAACCTCACAAAAGTACTATGTGATAATTACTGTTTTTATTCCCATTTTGTTCTTGAGAAAACTGAAAAAGAGGTGAAGTTATTTGCTCCAAGTTCACAGAACTAGTAACTAGATGAGCTAGGATTTGAAACCAGGCAGCCTGGCTCCAGAGGCCCTGATTTTTACAGCTATATTATACATAACAATATACTGAGTAGCATTTGCTGAGGTTTAATTAACAGCTATGGATAAGAGAAACCAGAGAAAGGTGAGGTCCCCTGAGGATGAGAGTAGAGAGAAGGGGGCATTTCTGGAAATGGAAAAAGCAAGCAATGGCGGCCTAGGTTACTATGATAGGAACACCAAGAAACAGACAACTGGCTGCAGTGGAGGATTTGTAACCCTGGGAGGTTGGAGATTCTAGGAGTCCTGAATTTCTTCTCTCCTTCTTTGGTTCTAAGGTCAGGGGTCCTGACCTTGGATAACCTTCTAAGACTGGTTAAAGGCCTGCGTGTGTGTGTGTGTGTGTGTGTGTGTGT